TTCACCAAACTGATAAAGTTTAATTTGAACTCCATCAGGTCCGGTTCGAGATGCCATTTCGTTCCTCACTTAAGTGGACCAAACTATTTCGTGTGTGCGGAGAGTCACTGTACTCTACACCGGGAGCTGGACTACTCGGAAAGCATGGGTGGTACGAGTGATCGTAGCGTTCCTTGCGTTCTCTGGCACTTGCGCGTTTACAGAGCAAAACAGCAAGAGTTTCACTAACATAAGTTGATAATAATGATACAAAGATGGTAGGAAACGATGGCTATATCAGGGATCTAGCAACCTAGCAGATTGGCAAATCGATCACCAGCGTAGCAAGTCGGCGGCCCGCCAGCGCAGCAAGTCGGCGGCCTGCCAACGCAGCTCGATGGCGACTTGCCAGCATTGCAAGTCGGCGATTTGCCAGCGCTGCACCAGAGCTGCTTGCCGACGTTGCGGCAATGCGGCTTGCCAGCGTTGCAACCGCACATGACTACAGCACACATGCACGAACCCATTTCGCAGGTCCTGGTCGACGGTTGAGCACGTCGTGCACTATCACGCACATTGCGCAGGTGCCAAGTCGGCCACGTGCCGACCGTTGCGCCGGATGTGCCACGCCGACCTCGTGCGCACGTGAAATTGCCACGTAGGTCGGCCTCGCCAAGACCACCTGGATGAAGTTCCCGCACTCCCGCAGACCTTAGTCAGCCAGGTTACACGGTCGACCAGAGGAGGGCGCCGACGTCCACAAGTCAGCGTCATGTCCAAGAACACTTTTGTCGGTAGCCGACTTCACCTCGCCGACCAACACCACGGTCGGCTTCGCTGAAGCCGGCCTCCTCCAGGGCGGCTCACCGTCGAAGCTGGCTAACCACGCCGATTTGAGCCTCCAAATAGGCTAACCAGCAAGTCGGCCAATCAAGTCGACTTGCCCCTCCAAGTCCGCTAACCAAGCCGACTTGGCCGACCACAAAGTCGGCTCCGCCGTTCGTTGAAGTCGGCTTCGCAGTGGTCGGCTTCGCAATGGTCGGCTTCGTAGTGGTCGGCTTCACCGAAGTTGGATAACCGCCGAAGTCGGCCAACCAAGTCGACTTGCTCCTCCAAGTTAGCACCGACTACGAAGCCTAGCCCGCTGCACACCTTGCAAGCCAGACAATGAATCCGGCTTCGCCCAAGCAAGGGCGGAGCCTTTTCTCGTCAACAGTGTGGAACCAACTGAGGACCCGGGCTAAGCTATGTTGGAGTCGACGTGCTACACTGTGCGAATGAGAGGTATAACAATATGGATGGAAAATTTACTCCAATTGTTCCACCTCGAGTGTAAGCACAAACCGAACCCGAAGGGGTGTTCCCGAGCTTTGACAAACCTACTTCTTTGTCGAGCCGAAGAAGTTCGGTTCGTCCAAACATTTTCTTACGATGCTGAGGTTGGAAGTTCGGCAGTACCCTGTCGAACTTTCGGATGTTCGCTGAATTGAGAAGAGAAGGGTTCAGTCGAACTCCATCATGTTCGATTCGAGATGCCATTTCGCTCGTCACATTGAAAGTGGCCTTGTACTTTCGGGTTACCAAGACCTATTGTGCAGGATATCTTGGAGTATGTATGGGAGACGTTGACCCAAGCTTAAACTTTCCAGGGCATTTCTTTGATCCCACCAAATCTCGCATTTCGCCGCCAGATCCCCTCGGATCTTTCATTCTGCCGCCAGATCCCCACAAATCTTGCATTTCGACGCCAGATCCCCACAAATCTTGCATTTCGACGCCAGATCCCCACAAATCTTGCATTTCGACGCCAGATCCCCACAAATCTTGCATTTCGACGCCTGATCCCCACAAATCTTGCATTTCGACGCCTGATCCCCACAAATCTGGCATTTAGCCACCAGCTCTTCACGGATCTGGCATTTCGTGGTCGGATTCTCGCTCTGGCATCTGCGAAACCTAAACCTTAAACCTGAAACCCTAACTGAACTTACGTTTAGAAACCAGGTGCGACTCATATTGGCCCTTCACGCCCTGAAATCATTACTGTCATCGCGTGGATTGTAGACATATCTGTCGAACTCATTCTGCCAAATAAGGACACAGTTTTCCTTATAAATATGGGAAAACGGGTACCTGATGGATCTTATAAATGGGAATGGTTTATCATACACAGTGTTATTCTAACCACTATGTAAACTCCTACAGATGGGTTCTCGAAATGAGTACAAATGTTCCAAAGCTGCCGGCTTTGGCAATCATTATTGGGAATGTCATGTCAAAAGAAATGCCCGCTGACGCAGGATGAGATAAAATCTGGATTATCTAAGTCAGCTCGTGCACAAATTCTTGCGAGCACAGATACAATTGTATGCGCTATTTTATTTTTTGGTGGCGCATATTACTGTGCCGATTATAAGGCATGTGCGTCATGTCTAATACTGGCAATAAGATCCTTGATAGAAAGAATTCTTCTTTATAGGAATAAAATATAATTGTGACTTCAAGTTGGCACTGTCTTCTATCCGGGCGATTACGTCGGTAACTTGGCCGAGCTAGGCTAGACCATCCCATTGTTCAGAAAGTAGGTGCAAACTTGCTTTCCTCAATCAACATAGTCAGTGGTTGTGTGTTGTCAGTGGTTCTTTTTTTTCGATTTTTTTTTTCCTTTTTTTTTTCTTTTTTTTTTGGCACACCGCCGCTTGGGTTGGATGTTTCAGATAATGCAGTGAAATTCACGGAGCAAGGCCACGTGACAGTGCATGTGTCCCTGGTGCCACACAGAACAAGTTTGCAAGACACCCTTCATTGCCAGGGTAAGCGACTATGCGAGCATTGACAATAGAATGTGGGGCTCATTCCCCTCTTCATATTAATGCAAGCATCGACATCAGCGAGCACCTTTCAACCTTTGCCCACTTCGTTATGTGCCTCTCTAAGATGATGCATGCATTGACACAAGGCCCATGGCCATGTCAACAACGCATTCCCTCTAATCGTGACCCTTTGCTATTGCCTTTCTCCCCCAGGCTTTTCCACCACCGTCCCTCGTGCACCCACTTCCACATTCACTAGCTGGACCTCTGCCTGGTCTTACTCAACATTTTGCCGGCTGAAGGAAGCTGCAAAGGCGTTGCCAGAAGCAGCAGCAAGTGCAACTAGCAACGCATTATGTGGATCAAGGGAGGGGAGGGGGGATGCCAGGAGTCCAGAGGGGGCCAATGGGCAGCGGCCAGCTGTGCTGGTGGTTGTCATGCCGTGACTCGGGATGCGGCCTGCCAGCGTCTCTCCTCGGAGTTCACAGCAGCAGAGAGGCTTCGCACTTCTCGCTTGCGGTGAGTGTGAATGAGGGAGTAAGTTTCGTGTCACCTGTGGGAGGTCTAGTTTTGAGGCGCCTCAAAACTAGTTTCAGGTCACCTGTGGGAGGTGGAATTCTTCAGGATGCGGCCTGCCAGCGTCACTCCTCGGAGTCCACAGCAGTAGAGAGGCGTCGCACTTCTCGCTCGCGGTGAGTGTTAGCTCTTACGTTGCTGGTTGCTGGTGGTGTCGTGACGGGATTTGGGGTGCTGCCTGGGAGGGGCCCTAACACTCAGGTTCAGGGTTCCTTTCTCCATCCGCTTATTTTTTTTAGTCGACTCAAAAGCAGATTCAGAAGTCGTTCATCCATCCGTTTATTTTTTTTAGTCGACTCAAAAGCAGATTCAGAATTCGTTCATCCATCCGTTTATTTATTTTAGTCGACTCAAAAGCAGATTCAGAAGTCGTTCATCCATCCGTTTATTTTTTTAGTCGACTCAAAAGCAGATTCAGGGTTCCTTTTTCCATCCGTTCTTGTGCCGTTTTTTGGGCTGCCTGCTGCCTCAAAAACAGACTCAGTGTGTTCTTTTCGCATCCCACTCCCCTGCGTTTTCAACCCCCTTATGCCTCTCGCCTCTCATTCCCTCTTACCTGTCCATTTCCTCATACGTCCCTTCTCTCGCAACCCAAACCCCGTCCTACCTGGATCCGACACTTGTAATACCCTGCTCTCATACTGCTCCCATCCACCCCATCCCATGCCATCCCATCCCATGCCATTCCATCCCATGCCATCCCATCTCATCCCATCCCATCCCGTCCCGTCCCGTCCCATCCCATCCCATGCCATGCCATCCCATCCCATCCCAATGCCATGCCATGCCATGCCATCCCGTCCCGTCCCGTCCCGTCCCGTCCCGTCCCGTCCCATCCATCCCATGCCCATGCCATGCATGCCATCCCATCCCATCCCATCCCATCCCATCCCATCCCATCCCATCCCATCACATCCCATCCCATCCCATCCATCCCATCCATCCCATGCCATCCCATGCCATGCCATGCCATGCCATGCCATGCCATGCCCATCCCATCCATCCCATGCCATGCCATGCCATGCCATGCCATGCCATCCCATGCCATGCCATCCCATCCATCGCATCCCATCCCATCCCATCCCATCCCATCCCATCCCATCCCATGCCCTCCCATCCCATGGATCTCATCCTGGCTGTAACCCCTTGGCGTGGCTTGGCATGGCATGGCATGGCATGGCATGGCATGGCATGGCATGGCATGGCACCCCACCATCCATGAGTTGCACGAGGCAGGGAGTGGGCCAGGAGCATCGCTTGGCCTTGTGCTCATGCACCAGATGGTGAGTGCTCATGCACCAGATGGTGAGTGCTCATGCACCAGATGGAGAGTGGCCACTTCATGATGATCCGTTTTTTTTTGGTAGTGGCAGAATTTTTTTTTTGTCGATCCAAAAGCAGACTTCTAGAGCTTCAACACAAGGCCAATTGAGAATGTGATTGGTAGTGGCGGAAATTTGAGCCTTGAGAGTGTCGTTAGGACATTGAGAACTGTAGCTTCAAACATGTCTTATAAGGGAGTAATGCACACACTACAGTGCAATGCTGGCATACCAATGTGACAATGTCATGCCTTCAACATGACGTGGCTTAGTTTACTACTTTCTCTTTTGTAACCCTCAGGTGACTTTAATGAAGGGGGAGATTGCCTTTGATTCCCAGCCTGGCTGTGGCTCCACTGTGGCATTTTCCGTGCCCGTGGCCGTTCCCTCGATACAAGAACACTCCTCGCTACAAGAACACTGCTCATATGAGGAAGCAGAAGTGTTGGAATCGCAAGACTTGCAGAGTCAGCAGCAGCAAGGGGGGGCGTCATGGTTCTGTGAGAGTCAGGAAACAGGGTCAGGCAATTCCCCAGGTGGTTCCAGCAGTACTCGAGAGCAGGATACAGGTTCAGGAGTTTTTTCAGGTGTTGGCAGCAGTACACAGAAACATGGGCTGGAATCAAGGGAGGAGTGTGAAGAAAAGCACAGCCAGGAGAATTATCAGGTGGTTCAGCAGAACCTGAAACCAGCAGCAGCAACAGCCGCAGCCGCAGCAGTCACAGCATCAACATGAGCGATCACTAGCGGGAACGGGGAGGGTAGGCAGTGCAGGAGAAGTCTCAACAGTCTTAGATCAAAGAGCAGCACGCGGGAGAGCAAGAGACAGGTCTCGTCGATCCGTCTCTGTAGCCGAAATCACCGCCACAACCACGGGGACTACGAGCTGCGGCGGATGAGGTGGTGACGCGGGCGTGGGTGGGCGGGCTGCGAGTGCTGGTGGTGGACGACACGCCCGTCAACCTCCTCGTGGCCCGCCGCTCCCTCGCCCGCTGGGGCGCCCGAGTCACCACTGCTTCCCGAGGGGAGGAGGCACTTGAGTTGATTGCTGCTGACCTTGTCTCCACCACCTCCCGAGGAGAGGAGGCGCTTGGCGGGTTAGTTAGAGCAGGTGCTCGGGGGGCTGGTGAGATGGGTGAGAGTAGCGGCAAGGAGATAGCGGCTGGGGAGCTGGTTGGGAGCAGTGCGGATAGTAGGGAGGGGTTTGGCGCAAGTGGAGCAAGGGGAGCTAGTGAGAGAGGAGGTGATGCACGAGGAGTGGATGGGAGAGGCGGGGACGGAAGAGGAGGGAATGAAGGAGGCCGTGCATCATTGCAGCATGGCTTCGACTTGGTTCTCATGGACCTGCAGATGCCGGGCATGGACGGGTGAGTGGTGGTGGGTGGTGGTGAGTGGTGGTGAGTGGTGATGAGTGGTGGGTGGGCATTACACGGTGAGTGGTTGTGAGTGGTGGTGGGTGGTGGTGAGTGGTGGTGAGTGGGGGTCAAGGATTGGTGGGTCATGAAGCAAGGTGCAACAACTGAGGCCCAAGTGTGTAACTGTGCTGCTCCTCCCTTCCCCTTCCCATAGCAAAGTGTGAACCTTGAAGTGCGAGCCTATATTTTCCCTCCCTTGCCTGGCCACATTCGCAGCAACAGAGGCGATCTGAGCTTTCGAGAGAAATCTTATGTTGGAAATGGCACAAGAGGTGCAGCAGGGAAAGAAACCCTGTATTGCCCCTGTCTTGCCCCTCCCTTGCCTTGGCAGGTTCGCAGCAACAGAGGCGATCCGTGCATACGAGAGAAAGCTTATGCTGGGCATGGCACAAGAGGCACAGCAGGGAAGAGAGCAGGGGAGGGAGGAGGAAAGGGAGGCGAGCAGCAAGGAGCATTGGCTTCAGAGGGAAGTATGGGAGGGCAACAGGGAAGCGTGCAGCAGGGAAGCATACAGCAGGGGGACATATGGGAGAGCGCAGGGGGGAGAGCAGCAGTGGCGGGAGAGATGCACAGGCGGGGCATGAGCTGTGGAGGAGACTGGGGGAGGGGAGAGAGATTTGTGCACAGGGAAAAGGGGAGGACAAGGAGGGCAGATTGAGGGAGCTTCTAGGGCTGGTTCGTCTGCTCTGCAAGCTCTCACCTAGAAGCTGCTAACGCTGCTGCTGCTGCTGCTGCTGCTGCTGCTGCTGCTGCTGCTGCTGCTGCTGCTGCTGCTGCTGCTGGCTGCTGCTGCTGCTGCTGCTGCTGCTGC